CACATTTTTAACTACAAAACTGAATGAACTGGCCGGGCGCGGTGGCTCACGCCTGTAATCCTAGCACTCTGGGAGACCAAGGCGGGAGGATTGCTTGAGGTCAGGAGTTCGAGGCCAGCCTAAGCAAGAGTGAGACCCCATCTTTATTTAAAAATAGAAAAACTAGCTGGGTGTCATGGTGCATGCCTGTAGTCCCAGATAATTGGGAGGCTGAGGCAGGAGGATCGCTTGAGCCCAGGAGTTAGAGGTTGCTGTGAGCTGTGATGATGCCATGGCACTCTAGCCTGGGTGACAGAGCCAGACTCTGCCTCGAAACAAGCAAACCAACCCCTAATGAATTGAATATTTGTATAAGGATTCTTGAGGGCAGGAATGCTTTTCAGTGTTACTGTCATTTTTCCTTATACATGTGAGTTTATACTCATGTATGTGTGTATGAATATAGCCTCAGCACCACACTAGGTTTGATGAGGAACACAGAAGTGGATCAGTTACAGAACATGCCTTTAAGAAGATTACAGTTCAGCGAAGGAGAGCAACACATACACAGTAACAATGATACAGCTTAAATGTACAGAAAACATTAGGTATGAGAGCACATATTTATTTCATCGATTATAAGATGCACATTTTGTCTTTCAGTCAATGGCATTTTAGCTTGGACCAAATGCAGAAAAGTCCCTTCAGCATGCTTTGGTAGCTCAGAGGAAGGAAGAGTCTTTCAGTTCAGGTGTGAGAGTGGAGGGGACAAGGCTCAGCAAAGGTTTAAACTCATGGGATGGACAGAACTTGGGCAGAAGTCAATTGGGAGAAGGCGTTTTAAGGGAACGAATAGTATAAACAAAACAGGGAGACAGGGATGGAGGCAAGAAGAACTTGGAGCTGGTAAAAACAGAGGCATGAGAGGAGAGATGAGAAAGGCCAAGTGGGAGGGGAAGGCTCAGGAGTTTCTGGATTTTATTATGCAAATGAGACAGGGTCCAGGAAACTATTGGTATGAGGATGGGGGGAGGAGCAGAGAGGGGTGGGGAAGTAGCGGCAAATAATTAGGGCCGTGCTTCAGGATTTGATTTGACAGCTGCACAGAAGGTCAACGGGAGGGGGAGTGTGAGGTGACTTGGAAGGCGATTAGGACAGCCTGGTGGAGAAGTGATGGGGAGAAAGGGAAGCCCAATTCTGGGCCGCATACAATGCAACAGTCATTATCTCATGTGCCCTTTGAAATGACCTTGGAAATTGTTGGGACAATTACATGAATTGACTCTGTTTTTTCCTTCTCCAGCTCGGTTACTGCTCCCTCCATTCCCACTCCAAGCTTGGACAGGCGTTGCCCCGACCCTAATCCCCACGACTGTGTCCCGTACGGGATGCGGTCAGAGGTTGTCCACTTCGGCTGCTCTGTTTTCATGCCCTCCATGTCTTCAGCGCTGGTCTGCCCTCGCCGGTGATCTGGAGGTGGCCTTAGTTCTTTGGAGGTCGGTGAGACCCGAGCCCTGGACTCTACTTGCAGCAGCTCCTAAGTGCATTCACTGGTGGGGGAAAAATTTTAAAAAATACACATGCCATTGCTTTGGGTTTGAGACGCTTGCATTTTGGGAGGTTTTCAAATTGAAAGCATCATAAAGCAGTGTCCTTTTTGCATCGAGGCCCAAAGCCAGGGCTACCTAGACTTAGCTTCCTAATGATTTCAGTGATTTGGGGAGCAGGTACCAGTAAGGGGATAATGCAGTAGTTGGGCGAAGACAGAGACAATTTAGGAAAACTGCTCATTCCTTCATTTGACCATGAACCATTTGAAATCTTAACCTCCGTCTCATCTGTCCTTCCCTCCACCCCTCCTCGCTTCCCTCCCTCTCTTCCTTTCTTCCTTCTGGCCTTCCATCCTTCCTTCCTTTCATGGATATTTACCGAGACCCTACTATGTGGCAGGTAGTCTGTGATGAGTGCAATGCTGTGCTAATTGCTAGGTGCTACAGGTGGTCCCTAAAAAAGAGGAAAGCACAGCTCCAGGGGTCCAGGTGCTTGAGCACTGTTGCTGGAAAGAAGGCAAAACCCCTACAAGACAATTGGGAAGCAGTGACTACCCAAAATAAATATACGAACTACCTGGGCGTTATCCATGTAACATGGGAAAGAAACGTAGGACATACCAGCTCAGGAGTGACTCACTCAAGTGCTTTGGAGGAGATGATTCATGTGTTCAAAATGATAAATAGGGAGAGAGAGTAAGAGTATGTCCCAGACCAAGCATCACGTGAACATGGACCTACAGCAGTGATTCTCAGCGGGGGTAGTTTTATACCCCTTCCTCCTAGGCAACATCTGGAATTATCCAGGGACAATTTGGGGTTGTGGAAACCAGGGAGAGTGTTACTGGCATTTAGTGGGTAGAGACTGGGGAGGCTGCTGACGCCCTATATAACCCACAGGACAGCCCCCTGCAACAAAATATTAATAGCGGTAGAGCCTAGGGCGGGCAATCCTGCTTTCAAGAACGAATCTTCCAGCAACAGGACAGGGCGTGGGGCAGATTATTCAGAGAGATGGCTGGAGATGGAGCCATTCAAGCACAGGAGTGCTTGAAAAAGAATCTGAAGGTTTGTTGGCTCACGTGGTCTTTAGGATCCAGAGCTGTGGGTTTCTGAACAACGAAGGAACACGAGAAAGTTGGTGCTCTGGGACACTTTGAGGACAGCAGAAGCCGGGAAACAATTGCACTGACTTTTTAGCATGAGCCTCGACAGCCTTTTCTAGGTGGGTGGCTCTGGGCAGGCACACTGGTACGAGAAAAATTGACAGGACGTGAAGACTTACTCCTGCCCCAGAAAGAAAGGAAAACAGTCATAAAAAAAAAAAAGTCTGCTTTTGGTATTTTGGTGTGACAATGTTCGCAAAGACCTAGATTTGTCCTTGGGGCCTTAGAGACTCTGGCTTTCACAGCGCTGCCTTTTGAAAGGATGACACTATTTCACTCCATCTTGAGGGGAAAGTTGCTGTTTCTTAATCAGTTTCTAACTTTTTTTTTTTTTTTAAAGCACGATGAGATCATTTATCTTAGGTTTTCTGGACCGGAGATCCTTTGCACTGCAGGCTCAAGCCACCAGCCCTGTTTTGGTTTTGTTTTACTAGGAAAGTTTAAGGAAGAACAAAAACAAAACAAAAAGTCCTCCTGGGAAGAAAACCTGTTGTTTTAGTGAGGAGGTTTCGCTCCTGTACCCGATGTGCCTTCCACCCTACACTCTTCCTCCCAGGCTGTCCGAGGACTTCCCCTCCTCCCCTGGAGCATGCCCCCGGGTTTCAGTGCCCCGGATCCACGAGGGGTGGGCGATGGTCCCTTCTGGCTCCCACTTTTCACTGTCCTAGGAGGAGCGTGTGGGGGTCTGGTGCGGGGAGCGCGTGTGCACGCGTGCGTGTGTGTGCTTTGCTTCTGGGAACAGGCAAAAGGGCAAGAGAGGAACAGATGGGCCCCCTGAGCTTCTCCTTGGCCTGCAAAATTGAAAGGCGGAGAAAATTGTAATAAAAAACGGAAACAGCTGTGTCAGGACAACAGCAGCTTGTGGGGTGGGACCCAGCCTGAGGGGGGCTGCAGTCTGTCAAGATTTTGCTCCCTGGCTGGTGGGATCTGGCTAGAAGCAGCGTCCTCGGTTGTAGATGTTGTCCACTCCGCGAGGGCGTCACCTGTGTGCTTCCCTCCCCAATTCGTTCTCCAAGCCGGACCGCAAAACGGAGATGGAGCAACCTTTTATTATAATACACTGGAGACGGCGGTGGAAACGCAGGCCCCACAGAAGCCCCTGCTGGTGTTTATCCGTGCAGAGTGACCGCTCTCTCTTCGATCTCATATACATTCCCCCAACTTTGTTTGAACCGGTTGTTTGTTGGGTTCTTGGCACATAAAGTCAACAGCAGGTTGATACACGGCTTGCCGACGACCGGGCAGAATGACGTTCTGAATAAGCAGAGAAGACATTTGGTCACAGTCACTGGCTCCCATTCAAGAGCAATTGGGCTCTTTCTCCCGAGGGACTTTTGGGCCGGATAGCTCTGAGTAATCAAGAGCTAAAATGTGGCAACGTGGGGGAAGAGCAGAGATACCGTATCAGAGTAGAAGAATGGACAAAGAGTTGCTGGGAAAGCGAAGGTTTTGCTACTCCTTACCCACTTCCCACCATCAGTAACAAATGAAAACTAATTTCAGCTGAATCACTACAGCAGTAATAAAGTGTCACGTTGTTAGGTAGAGTAATCCAAATGCTAATCGAATGGCGGGTGGCTCTACACATCAGGATATAGATTCTCCCCCCTGCCCCAGGTAATCTGTTTATTTATTAAGCAATCTTTTATTTTTGTGTGTGATAGTCAAAAGCGACGCATGCTTAGATGATGGATTTTAGGAGCTAGGGAACCCCTGACCATAAGCTCACTATTTTCTTAACTCCCTTGGCTGTGTTTACTCCAGAAACATGACTCTTCATAATTTATTAACATTATGTGTTTAACGTTGGTCTCTTCCTACCAGGTGTGGGGTCTGTTTTGTTGACTCGTGTGCACCACTGGCTGCCAGCACTGAGCCCGCCCAGTGGCAGATGAGCAAAAACCACTTGTTTCAGTGATTGTAACCTCTTGGGCAACACGGCCGGCTAGACCAGATCTAGACAGTTCTTTCCACACTGTGTGCCCACAAGGACCGTTTTGCTCAATAGCTACGGGTGCTGGCCTCTAGCTGGACAGCTGACTTTTATTTGGCTCCATGTCTGCCGATTGGCTGCAGCTCATAGCTGATATGTGTTGGCTTGAGCTACTTTCCTGTCATCTTAATTTTTGTTGTCTGGCCTGGTTCTGCTCGGTACCTACTTGCACTACGGTGGAGCCAAAATAAGCAGATAACACAGGTGAAAATTGGAGGCGAGAGAATCTTGCTGGGAATAGGGGATTAAGGGGCAGGGACGTTGGGGAGACTTAAAAATGCCATATCATTTTTTTTTTCCTTTAAATCCCAGAAAACAGCTGCAGGTGGAGAATGGGATGGATTTCAAGAATTCTCCATGGCGGCATGGGTTCACACAGGGGCCAGCTGGGTGATGAAATCGACTCAGAGGTCAGATGTGTGCTCATGTTCAGAGAAGACTTCAGAAATTTCAGGGACTTTCAAAATTGGTTCTGGATGGAGGCAGATCTGTTGACTGGGGAGAAGGGACTAATGCGTGATAATTCTGAGATCCAGGGGCCTCAGGCAGGACGGGAAACGAGGGTGCAGGCTCCTTCCTCTAGCTCTGCTTTGGGGAACCTGGAAGAGAAGTGCCTCTTCTTTTCTCAACATACAGAGATGAAGGACATGCAGAATAGGATAGATCTGACCCTTTTAGGGGCGTTAAGCTGTAACGTGCAGCAGTTCTCCAAACATTGCCTGTCTACAAGGTCCTTTATCTGCATAGATGTGAGTCAGCTCCCTCCAGGTCCAGGGATTTAGAGCAATTTGCATAAGCACCACCCAGAAACCAGATGTTTATGTGGGCTTTAATGTCTCCCCCCTTCCCTTTATTCCTTGACTTCTTCTGCCTCCCAAGCTGCCTGCAAGTGGCCCAAGAGTCTCACATTAGACACTCCTGAATTCCCAGCCCTGTTTGTCTCCAGCTGGACCGGGAGGGCCTCACAGAGCTTGGCACGTCCATGCATGGGTCTAGCTAGATTCATACGGTGCCGAGGCAGCTGCAAAAATGAAAAGTCGTAAGAAAAATGAATATCTAAACTCCAAAGAAAGGAAATAAACATCAGGGTTCCAGAAGAGCGTAGGGGTAGTCAGATCTGAATTGCCTTGAATTCTGTAATGCGAGCCAATGTGCAAGGGAACTATATAGGACATTAAGGAAGAGGGGGTGTAGGCAAAGTAGAGGATATCGAATGTTCCTGACACTAAGAAATAATAAATGTGTGAGATGATGGATATGCTCATTACACTGATCTGATCACTATATGGTATGTGTATTGAAACATCACTATGTACCCCATAAGTATGTACAATTATCATATGTCAATTAAAAAAAAAACAAAATTTTAAAAAGCATGAGATACCATTTCACACCCAAAACGTGGGTGTCAAAAATAACTGACAACAAAAATGTCAGTGTTGCTATAGAGGAATTGCAACTCTCCTTCACTGCTTGTATATGTATATTAATATGTGTGTGCGTATATATGTATATGTGTATATATATAATGTGTATAATGTGTGTGTATATGTATGTATAAAATGATTTAAGCACTTTGGAAAATGGCTTAGCAAATTCTTGTAAAGTTGAACGGTCATCTATCACATTTGTACATATTTACCCAAGAAATATTTATATCATCTTTATTCATAGTAGCCAGATTCCAGAAACAATGCAAGTGTCTTGTCTGTCAGCAGGAAAATGGATAAACACATTCTTGTATGTTCATACAACAGAATACTACTCAGGAAGAGAAAAGAATGAACTACTGATACATGCAATGACACCGATGAATCTCAAAAAGTATGCTGTACAAAAGAAGTCAGACATAAATGGGTACATATTGTGTAGTTCCATTTATTTATTTATTTATTTATTTTTTTTGTGTAGTTCCATTTATATGAAGTTCACAAACAGGCTCTAATCAACAGTAAGAGAGATCAAACCAGTGGTTGTCTACGGGGAGATAGAGATTCACTTAAAGAGCAATGAGTGAACTTTCTGGGGTGATGGTTATGTTCTCTAATTTGGTTGGAGTGGTAGTTGCTCAAATGTAAACATGCATCAAAAATTGAGTTGTATCCGTAAGATTTATGCATTTCATTGTATGTAAGGGTTTTTGGTTTTGTTTTTATCTCCCCACAATAAAATAAAGGAGGGGGGCAGTCTAAGCGGGGAAAGGAAATCTGTAAAAGATGGTTTTTGGAGAGTTGTTGCCATCACTGGATACTCCTCCTCCCTTCACTGGGGAGATATGGTGGTTCTACACACTGACCCCAAGCTGAGCAAATGGGGCTTTGCGAGAGGTTACCTGCAAAGCTTTGAAGAGGGTTCTTGCAAACACAGAGAACTCGTGCCTGCCTCAAGAATCTAGGTACCTAGGGTGAGATGTGGGAAGTGTTGACTTCTCTTGGGTAAGGGACAGATGGGTTTCCATCAACCAAATGTAAGTCCTCTGAAAGAGAGAACGAGCATGGCATCCTCGGGGGTCCTGTTTAGCAGAGTTGTCTCAAGGACAAGGAGACCTCAGCAGACAGAGGCTGAAGGTTTCTGAGTGACAGAGAGTGCAGAAAAGTGTAGGGTCACCCTTCTTCCCCACCACAGGTTTCCATCCTGAAGCGATCATACGTGCAAGAGAAGATTTAATATTAAACCAATTTAGGCATTTCCTGGGGAGGGGCGACATTTCAATTACTAAAATGAGACTTTAAAAAAAAAATAACTACATGAAAAGAGGGCTTTTTATTTTCTGAGAGTGATGGAAAATTTATGTCCCCTTCCTTCCCCACCCCTTACTCCCACCTCCAGTGAACACAAGGAAAGATCCAGCTCCTGAATAAAGTCTAAAAAGGGTCAACAAAGGCAAATATAAAGTTGTATTTTAATCACAGTCCAGGGTTGCCTGTATATCCAAGTAAGCATCTTAGTAACCTAACATGGGTTGCCCGTATATCCAAGTAAGCACCTCCCATCACATTTCTGCAGTCTGCAGTTCAGTGACGCCACCTCTTCCCCGTCACTGAAGACAGAGCGTGGAGGTTGTCCTTGACGCCACCTTCTCTTCTTCGTGGTCTTCATCCCACCAGCTCCCAACCCCCACAGTTCCCACTTGAGTCCTCTCGTAGTCACCCCCTTCTCTCCACTTTCATTGCCACTGCTGTGGTCTTAGCTCAAGCCTTTTTTCTCCTCTACAATGGACTAAACAAGAGGCTCCTATGTGGTCTCCCGGCTCCCAGATTTTGACAGCGAAGTCAAAAAAGTCTGGGTTGGTTGCAGGGGAAACAATGTCTTCTTTTTTTTTTTTTTTTTTAACACACAACAGCTCCTGCCATTTTCTAGTTAAAATCCTTCTAAAGTTCACTTTGGTTCCATCTCTGCTTATCTCTCCGTGAATTCTCTGCTCTTTCCCTACCCACATCTGAATGTAGTCACACCGAACCAACTCACAGTTACCCCAGAGCATGAGCCTTTTTCCTGTCTTCGCTTCCTTGCACACAGTCCCTTCCTTGTGCCTGAACTGTCTTCCCTGAGCTGGACGACTCCCTCTCTCCTCCGGAGGGTTCTCTTTGTCCTCCAGCCTCTGCATCTGTGTCGAGTGCTGCATACCTCTCTAGCGCAACACTCAGTGCTCTTGTCCGTTTAATTTCTCTTATCTTGTTAGTTTTGGAGTCTCCAACTCCTATCTGGCATACAGTGAACACTCATCAAAAGTTCATTCAATCGATTATTTAATTACGGAGTCAATTGCAGACTGTTAGTCCCCTAATACTTGATTCTCATCTCAGGATCTTGGGAAACAAAAGAAACTTAAAAGGTCAGTGAATTCATCAATACATAGTTGCCGAGTTCCTGGTGTGTGTCAAACACTTTTCTAGGCACCGGGGGTAAGTTGGGAACAAGATAAAGTCCAAAGTCTTAGTAGGAGGAGGCAAACACATAAATGGCAAGGATAATTCAGGAAGTGGTGGTGTTACAGACGTAGACAGAATGATGGGTCAGTGAGTGATGGGGCGATGGCAGTATAGATAACTCTGTCTAGGATGGTCAGGGAAGGTCCCTCGGAGAAGGTGACATTTGAGCTGATATCTGAAAGATGGAAAGGAAACAACAGGGAAAATTCTGATGGAAAGGGTGCTTTAGGTCAAGCAAGCAGTAAGTGCAAAGGCCCTGAAATAGCAAAGAGCATGAGAGACTGAGAGTGAGAAAGAGGGCAGAGAGGCAGGGCATGGAGAACAGGAGAGTAATAGCAAGAGGCAAGGTCATGGGAATGGGCCAGGGCTAGAATGCTCAGGGCAGAGGTCAACAACCTTTTCTGCAGTGGGACCAGCTACTCTAGATTTTAGGCTTTGCTGGCTACTATCTTTGTTCCAACCACTCAACTCTGTCATATAGCAGGAAAGCACATAGGCAATATGTAGACTAATGGGCATGACTTTGTTCCAATAAAACTTTATTTGCAACAATAGGTGGTGGGCCGGATTTGGTACGTGGGCTGTCGTTTGCTAACCCTGGAGAAGGGCAGTTGACTCCCATGGTAAGGAATTTGGATTTTATTCCAAGTGGGTAGGTAGCCATTGGGAGGTTTAGAACAGGAGAGACTTATAGTCAGATTTTGCTTTAAAGAGATTCCCTGCAACAGAATTTACAAGATAAGAATTGCATTTCTCTGTTTATTCTCCCTTTCCCATTATGAACTCTATTTCAGATTCTCTTTCGAAAACTGGGGGCATGGGGAGAGTCTCTGGTAGTCACCCCGGCCAGTTTACTAGTTACATGACCTTAGGTTAATTGCTTAATCTCTCTGAGCCTCAGTTTCCTTCTTTATAGAACTGCAATAATAACACCTGTCTCTAAGGGTTATTAAATGGATTACATGAGATCATGAATATAAAACATCTGTCACAGTGCCTGGCAAACTAAAGGCCCAATGATGTAAATCCTTTTTCCTCTTTTTTCTTTCCATTGAGCCCATATATGTCATGCTGCAGTTAAATGGGGGGTAAATGTAAGACTTGGTAATTGGATTGAAAAATCAATTGCACAATTACAGGTTAGGTAAGAAATTGCTCGACATAACATAACTAGGTGACTTGGCTGCTATAAGAGCTAATACAATTATAATTTAAATAAATAGCAGCACACTTTCTCATTACAGGAGCAATAAATGTATTTGTATTGCATATTAGACAGGTATTTGAAGTCCTGAAAAATAATTCTGGGTGCATTGATTTGAGAATACTAGTAAGTAAAGTACATCCAAAAAAAAAGAATGACAAACAAGAAAGGGTTTGGGAAACATATCATATGTAAACTCTATTGGAAGTGTTCAGTTTGGGAAAATAAGACTAGAAGAAAACTTAAAAGTTGCACAGATACTTGAAGGGTTATCATCTGGAAGAAAGAGAAGATACCAGTATGGTTACTGGTATGGAGGTGGACCACCTTGGGCCATCGGGTGGAAACTGCAGAGAAGAGATTTTTCCACAAGTAAAGATCTCCACGATGGAAGAAGTCAACTCCCTATACATGCAAGTATTCTGCAAGAGATGAAGGATTATTCAACGGCTTAGACATTGCATAAAAGACTTTTTCAGTGAGAGCACAACCAAACTAAAAGACCTCTCGTCATACCTTTCTAATTTCTGATTCCATAAGCCTATAGGAGATCATGAGACCCTTTGGATACCAGGGACTGGATCCTTCTCTTGGGGTCTTTGGTAAAAAGAAGATTGTGAGATACCTGAATCCATGGTTCATCAAGAAGTAGAGAGTTTAATAAAGCATTATTAGGGGGAGGAAAGAGGAGGACCAGGAGGGAGTGGCTAAGGTTAAAATAGAGAGGGTTCACCTTTATGTAAATTGAACCAATTTCATGTCACTAAAAAATTCATGAACACCAGGAGAGGAAAAAATTGCTTAGCAAGTTCTCATGGAAACCATTTCCACATCAGTCAACTAGGCCTTCCCTGCGCCTAGTCTACAAAGCGGCCATAATCAGTTGAATCAGTTGCGTTTTTGTTTTGTTTTTTTTTTCATAGCACATGAACAAGAAAATACCAGGGAATATTGTTTACTTTTGTCTTCCTTCTCCTCATGAGAACATAAGCCCAATGAGGGTAGGGTTTCTTGTTCACAGCTGTATCCTAATCCACAGAAAGTTCCCAACAAATGCTTATGGAAAGAAAGAGGTGTGGAATATGGCAGCATGAAATATTGGCAATAGGATCAAGTTCAATATAAAATCCTGAATACTCAAGGGGTGTGGCCTAACAGCAGCTTCA